CGTGGGCGTCTTGGAGCGGTCGTTTGGCGTCTCGGTGCCTTCGTGGGCCGTCTTGGAAGCCTCTTGGGGGCTTCGTGGCCCGTATTGAGGCCCTCTTGGGCCAGGAAAAGCCCCGTGGATCGCTCGTCCCGGACCCCCCCCCCCCCCTCCAAATCGACCGGACCAGGCTCCCGGGGGAGGGGTTTGGGGAGGGGGAAGCATCTCACACGCCGATGATCCCCAAGGGGTCGGCGGATTGTTGAGATCCTGGAGGAGGAGAGGAGGAGCGGAGAAGGGGTTGGAGGGAGGAGGGCCCAGATCTTCGCTGAGGTGTTTTCTGCATAGTGGGGGCCCCCAGAGTTCTGGGCCTACAGGACTGGCTTCTCATCTTGGGCCGGTGTCTGACGCTGACGGCTCCGAGCCCGTCGAGGGCCACCAGAGGCAGAGATGTGCAGACCATGCTCCGCCGTAGTTTTGTTCGCAGCGCGAGGATGTCAGGAGAGCAGGGGGAGGGATGAGCTCGGAGGGGCTCGTCGTACACACCACGTCGCTTGGCATGCCAGGGAGCCAGGAAGCTCGGCGCGGGGAGCCGGAGTGGAGAGCAGGGGGAGGGAGGAGCTCGGAGGGGCTCGTCGTATACACCACGTCCCTTGGCATGCCAGGGAGCCAAGCAGCTCGGCGCGGGGAGCCGGTGTGCAGACGAGCTCCCTCCCACACCGAGCTCCCTGGCCGACCAGCCGGCCCTTGTGCACACTCCGAGCCCCCTCCCAAGCGAGCTGCAGCCGGGGGAGGAGAGGGAAGGTCGGCGACCCCGAAGGGCGTGGCTTGCAGAGGCTATGACTTGCCTTCTCCTCCTCCTCCTCCTCCTCCTCCTCCTCCTGCCTCATCCCTCGTCCTCCTTCCTCCTCGTCCTCGTCCTCCTCCTCCTCCTCCTCCTCCTCCTCCTCCTCCTCCTCCTCCTCCCTCGTCCTCCTCCTCCTCCTCCTCCTCCTCCTCCCTCGTCCTCCTCCTGCCGGCACTCTGGGGGCACCCTGGGGCCCCCGCGAGGACCCCCGACGGAGCTCTCCACCGCGCCCTGAGGAGGCCCGACGAGGACCCCGACGGTGCTCCCGAGGGCCCAGCGGTGCCGATCGCAGACCACACCTTCGGCGTACACGCTGGTCGTTGACAGTAGGTTTCTTTCGGGGGAGCGTAAGACCTGGGTTTGCCAGGACTCGGGTTCGCCATCGTTTTTTGACGACCGCGCCTCGGATTTTGACGGGGAGGAGTTTCGTGGGATGTCTGCAGCGGGAGGCCTCGTCAAAATGCAGGCTCGGCCTCGTCATTTTTTTGACGACCTCGTCGGGGATTTCCGAGTCCCCCGTACCCGGGTCTTACGTCTCCCCGACACACCTTCGGCGTACACGCTGGTCGTTGACAGTAGGTTCCTTGGATGGCCAGTTCCCAACCTGCTTTCGGCGCTCTCCTGCTTCAGGAGTCGAGCGGCTCTCCCTCCTCCCTCCTCTTCAGGGGGCGGGCGGGAGTCCAGTTCTACTTCCAACACCCTCGTCCTTCCGACCGACGGGTGATCTGGGTTTCTTCAAAAAGCGTGGGGGAGATACCCCCCCGGCGGGGGTCAACCCCGCCTCGTCGTCGCGCCGCGACGGGGTTCGGAGCGCCTTCGGCGCGCGGTGGCTGCCCGCGACGGGGGTTCGATGTGGGGCTTCCGGCGGGGGTGACTGACGCCCCCGCCGATGCTGATTGAGGGACTCGGAGCACGCGTATCCGCGGTTTCGTGGGCCGGGCCCTTGGGCCGCCGCCCCGCCGAGGCTGGGCGCGGTTTCGCAGACGTGCCAGCGCGCAGCGTGCTCCAGCCACCGCGCACGCAGAGCCGTGGGATCGCGCCCCTGGGATCCAGACCGCGATGGCGCGGACATGGACACGCCCGATGCGTTCGCCGCTCTGCAGTCGCCGAGGACCGGGTGCTGCCAGAGGTGCCCCCTGGCCCGAGGCGGCCTCCAGGGACTCGGGGCGGCCCGGGCGGCCTCCAGGGCGCCCCGCACGAGACCCCGAGGGCCCCAGGGGCCCCACAGGATGGAGCGGAGAGCTGGGGGCACCTCGGGCCAGGGGGGCGCTTCTGGCAGCGCCCGAGGGGAGGAGCCCGCGCCCCGCCCGCGCGGCCCCCAGGCGCCAGCGCGGCCGCGGGCCTGCGGAGCACGGACGCGCTCAGGACGGGGACCGCGGGCCCGCCCCGCCGTTCTCGCGGGCCTCGGCCCCTCGCCTCTCCCTCCCCTTGGGCAGCAAGGGCGCCCTCGAGGGCGCGAAGTGACTCGCGCTTCGCGCCTCGCGCCTCGCGCTTCGCGCTTCGGCTCCGATTCCTCCTCGTCCTCCTCATCTCCCCCGGGAGGCGGCGCGAGAGCGCGGAGTTATTCGCACTTGGCGCTTCGCGCAGCGCGGAGCGCGAAGTTGGGAGCCCTTGGGCAGCGCGAGTCGGTATCGTTGAACCGATCCCCATCCCCATCCCCATCCCCTTCGAGACCCCAACCACATTACCTCGATCCCCCCAGGTTGGAGATGCGCCCCTCGAAGCCCGACCCCATCTATGGGGGGTAGATCGGCCAGTGGGGCCCAGGCCACGCGATGCTGGGGATGGGGATCGGCTAGACGATACTCAGTGAGGATGGGCTCGGGGGGCCGGCACGCCGGTCTCTGGACGGGCCAAGGTGGGGGTTCGCGAGGCTCTTGGGAGAAGAAGACGGAGCAAGACAGGGGGGCGGCGGGACGGGAGGGGGGAAGGGGAGTAGAGAGGGGGCGTGAGGAGAGGAAGGGGAGGAGGGAGGGGGGGGGGGCAGGCCGGAGGTTCGAGGCATGGGTCTCCGTCCGCTCCTGGACGTGTTCCAGCCTCGGGAGGCTCTCCAGCAGCGCCTCCCGGAGGGCGCTCCGGGGCTGCCGGAGTCGTCCCGAGCGGCCGCCGAAGGCTCCGAGTTATGGCCCGAGAGCTGGCACCGGTCACAGCTATGGTTCAGGAGGGGAACAAACACACACACAGACACTATTAATCCTCGAGTCCTCAGGAAGATATGGGAAAATGTAGGAAGTGGGGGGGGGAAGACAGGAACCCAGAACAGATGGGAAAATATGGGGGATATGTTTATTTGTGTGTATTCATTTGTGTGTCCTGGGGGCCCTTCACTATGGTAGGCTCGGGAGGCGAAGCACCGACCCCGGATCCTCCCTTCAGCGCCGGCAGGGGCCCGATAGCCCCGTCTCGCCCAGCAACGCGTGGGGGGTTCGAACTATAGCCAGGGCTGGACAGAACCCCCAACACGCGCCTCCTCGTCAAGCGGCCTGACCAGTACAGGCCGTAGTCTGGCACCGCTTGGTATCTCTTGGAAGCGAGGGTGGTCAAAAGCGAGGTAGGTTCGTTTGCCCCCTAATTGCGGCATGTTGCTGCGTGCGGGTGATGCTCTGGAGGGAAAAAACACACAGGCACAAGTAATCGTCGACCCCAGAGAGTATGGTCGAGGGCGGACAGAACCCCGAACAGTGACACGTCGATTAGTGGATTGTCCGTTTTCGGTTCTCGAGAGGGCGCCGCGGCCGTCATTTCCCAGGCCTGCGCCCGCCAGGTTTGGGCCCGAGGCCGTTGTCACTGAACCACGTTTTACTAAAGGGAGGTCTGTCCATCCCCGAGATAGCCCCGTCTCGCCCAGTAACGTGTGAGGTTCTAACTATAGGGGCTCCGTCGCCGATCTGTCGGTAGCCGACTCCAGCTCACTGTGCCCCTCCATCGATCCGCTTCGATATCGACTCTCTGGCTGGGCCGATCCGATTTGATGCCGATGTGTTCTGGGCGATGCGCGCAGCCCCGCCAGCCCTTCCAGAGACGATGCCCAGGCGAATTGTCCTGATCAGGCACGTTGGGGAGCACGCAGTGGAGTAAAGGCTGGGGCGCGCCTGCTGGGACTGGGCCAACGACGCCGCGAGACACGACGCGACGACGACGACAGCTTGCAACAGCGCTTGCACTTACAGGTTCTTGCCCTGCCTAGCGAAGATGCTGCGAGTTTCTGAATCAGCGTCGGGGGGGGCATCACCCCCGCCGACGGCCCCAAAGCGACCCCCGTCGCGGGCAGCCACCGCGCGCCGAAGGCGCTCCGACCCCCGTCGCGGCGCGACGACGAGGCGAGGTTGACTCCCGTCGGGGGGTACCCCCCCCCCACGCTTATCAAGAAACCCAGAGTAATCATTTGGGTGTGCGGGGGCCTTCGCCCGGTGGCCACCCCTCTGGGTGCCTCGTGGGCGCCCCGAGGGCGCCTCGTGCGCTGGGTGGGCGTGCACAGGTTCCGCCTCCTACCCGCCCGTGGGGCACCTCGTGGACACAGCGTGCGACAGCGTCTCGGGACACAGCGTGTGGCATTAAGTAAAAAAGAGTGAAAAATAGTCTGGGGACTATTTTTTGAGTATGTTTTGACTATTTGGGAGTATTTTTTGAGTATGTTTCATTTTCCGTCGAAAATCCCTCTGTTGGGGGACAGGCCCGACTTAACACCAGGGGGTCAACATCCCGGGGGTCATCATCAGAGCGTATGTCAGGCGATCGCAAACATGGATCAAGGGGACGTGAGTTAGCGACGGGTCCCGCTGCCATCGGAGATCGCGGATCGCCGCCGAGCGAGGCGGCACCGGCCGCACTTTTGGGGGAAGGCACTTCCCCCGATCCATGGACTTGGCGACCGCGCGCCAATTCCACGGATCGCTGATCCATGTCAGCGCGCCCCCGAATCTGATCCCACGGGCCAGGATCATCGGGCCGGGCGAAAGGGGGGGATTGGGCAAGGGGGGGGTACGAAATTTGCTGCATGCAGCTGGTTTCGGCCCCACGGAGGGGCCCGTTCCTCGAGACATGACCGCCTCCGGCGCCGGGAGGCGCCGGGAAAATCAGCGACGTGAGCTGATTCTCAACCCCCCCTGTGCTATCTCGGGCGAAGAGAACTATGCACATGCACCGGTCCTGGCAAGGCCCATCCTTGACCCAGGATCGGTGCATATGCCTTCCTGGCCAAGGTAGGAGGGCGGATGCACCGATACTGGGCTCAGGATGGGCCTGGCCAGAATCGGTGCATGTGCATAGTTCTTGTTCCTTTACTATCCCCCCCTTTCGCCCGGCCCGAGAATCCGACCCCACGGGCCAGGGATCCTCTTCGGGTGCTCCCTTCGCCTTCTGCGAGGTGGGCGGGCGGGCCCTGCAGGCCCTTTGCCGTCCTCTGCGCGGCGCCCTGGCCTCGCTCGGAGCCACCGCGCGCCTGCCCCGCGCGTCCTGCGCGCGGCGCGCGTGCTATGGCACGGCTCGCCTCGTGGGGAGGCGGTGCTCCGCCTTTTGGCGGTCGTTCTGTCGAGCTGTTTTCAGGAGGGAGAGGCACACACGGGCACAAGTCATCCTCGATTCCCCAGAAAATGTGGGAAAACATGGGAAGTGGGGGGGAAGGCAGACACCCAGGAGATATGGGGAACTATGGGGAATCTTTTTATTCGTGTGTATTTCTTTGTGTGTCCTGGGGCCCCTTCATGTTTCGACTGCTCCGAACTTCTTCGTGACCAACCGGGGAGGGTGACACACGCGAAAACGCGGCGCGGCCAACCCCCCCCTGGCACCACCCCCGCGCCCCAGCGGGGAAGGGAACGCAGCCCAGGCCCCCCCGGCACCCCCGCGGACGCGCGGCCAACCCCTCTGGGCACTCCAAGGGGCGGTCGATTACGATTATTTAGCGATCCAGAGTATGCTTGCATCGCTTCGAGTCGCTGCGTTTTTGGTTTCGATTTGATTGGCCGAGCCGTGCCCGATGCGTTGCACATTTGACAGCAGAAAGCGTGCTCGACAACTCGTTGATTGAGCCACGTGGGCGCGATTGTCAGCGATCATCTGGTGCGTCCGGCCTTGATCTTCCAACGAATAAAGGTGCCTGCCGCAGCCTCTTTGGCCCAATCCGCGCGTCGATGGCTCGGCACCCTACTCGTGCGCCTACCTGCTCCCTCGGCGCGCCGTGCCGGCCTGTTCTGCCAGCGACTCCGGGAGTTCGATGCCATGGACAGCGCGATGAGACACATTGTCTTCGAGAGGGGTGGGCGTCTTCTGTCCATCGTCAGCGAGGAGGCGCACGAGCTCTGGGAAGGCTGTCGCTCGGCTCTGGGGGAGGTCTGCGACGCTCCTCTGGCTGCCGCGGGCGCGAGTGGCGCCGCGCTGGGCGTAGGCCTGTCCGTTGTGATGCCACGCGAGCCCCAGGTGGTGGCGGTCGCTGTCACGTACGGGTGGGGCGTCTCGGTGTGCCTCTCCCTGGCAGTGGTCTCCTGCGGAGTCCTCATGGTGGTGCCCCTGTGCACGATATCTTCCACCGGTTGGGAGACCAGGGCCGCCGAGCCAGAGCCAGGCCCGGAGCCAACCACGCGCTCCAAGGATCAGGAGGGGAAACAACACACAGACACAATCAATCGTCGATTCCCCAGAAAATATGGAACATGGGGGAAGTGGTGGGGAAGACAGAAACCCAGAAAATGCGGGAAAATATGGGGAATCTGGTTATTTGTGTCTATCTATTTGTGTGCAGTTCCCCTTCAAAGGACCCCCCGCCATCCCTGCCGGCGCCGCCCCTCGCGAAGGGGCCCGCCAGGCCGCCAGAGCCGGCCGTTGGGCCCGCCAGGCCGCCACAGCGGCCTGCTGGACCAGCCAAGTCGCCACCGCCGGACACCGGACCTGCCAGGTCACCGCTGAGAGCCACCGGACCCTCCAGTCTGCCGGTCTCGCCAGGCAGCTTTGCGGAGCGGCGAGCGATGCCCAAGGGTGTGGCGTTCCCGCCCTGACGCGTGCGTTCACGACGCGCCAGGCTGGACGTCTTCGGGGCAGGACTGTCTAATTGTCCAGTGCCTTCCGGGCCCATGTTCAGGAGGGAAAGAAACCATCAGACACAATTAATCGTCGATTCCCCAGAAAATATGGGAACATATGGGAAGAAGGGGGAAGACAAAAATCTAGAAAATATTGAGAAAGTTGGGGAATCATGTTATTTGTGTCTATTTATTTGTGTGTCCCAGGGCCTCCTCATTGTATCCTCGATCGGTTGCTAGTGTTGAGAAGGGCCGTGGGAGAGAGCGTAAAGCTAGCAGCGTAGAGCTAGTCAAAGCGAAGCGGCGACACAGGAACAGCCCACGACCCCCGAGAACTGTCGAATCTGGAGTCCTGTGGGAGGCCGCCTGGAGTCCTCTTGGAGCTCTCTCGACTCTCTTTTCGGTGCTTTCGGGCCTCCGTGGGGCTCTCTTGGACGGCGGAGGCCTCGCCAACCTCATTCGGATCCCTTGAGAACCCCTGGCCCCCGCTTGGGGCCATCCTGGGCGATCTTGGAGCCATATCGTGGCGTCTCTGGGCACCCCTCCCAGGGCTGTATTGGGCGGTCTTGGTCTTGCGCCTTGGGGCCCTCTGGGGTCACTCCTGGGGTCACGGAGCCCTCCTGGTGTCGCTTGGGGTGCATACTCAAGGGCGCCTTCGAGGGCGCGAAGTTATTCGGTCTTCGCGCTTCGCGGTTCGGCTCCGATTCCTCATCCTCCTCTTCTCTTCTGGGGGGCGGCGCGAGAGCGCGAAGTCATTCGCACTTCGTGCTTCGCGCAGCGCGAAACGCGAAGTTGGGAGCCCTTAGTACAGGCCGTCGCGTGGGTCAGCCTGAGCCCCTCCTGCAGACCCTCGTGGGCTGCCCTGAGGGCTGTTGGGCCACGTCGCTTCGGTGCCCGCTCGAGCATTCCTGGATGCCCGCCCATCGCCGCGAGGCACGGCACGCGATGCAGAATCTGAATTCCTGGCTTCTCACCGCTTCTCGAGACGAACTTCCTCGGTGGCGCGCGCCTGGGGTGTGAGGCGCGAGGTCACTCTTTTTTAGGGCCATTCTTGTGTGCAGCCGATTGTCGACTGCACACAGGAGAAGGAGGAGGGGGTGGAGGAGGGGGAGGAGGAGGGGGAGAAGGCGGAGGAGGAGCGGAGGAGGAGGAGGAGAGGAGGAGGAGGAGGTGGAGGGAGGAGGAAAGGTGGAGAGGAGAGGGGAGAGGAGGAGAGGAGGAGGAGGAGGAGGGGAAGGAGAGGTGAGGAGGAGGAGGTGGAGAGAGGAGGGGAGGAGGGGAGGAGGAGGAGAGGAGGAGGAGGAGGAGGAGAAGGAGGAGGAGGAGCGGGTGGAGGAGGAGGTAAAGGAGAGGAGGAGGAGGAGGAGGAGGAGGAGGAGGAGGGGGGAGAGGAGGAGGAGGAGGAGGAGAGGAGGGGGGAGGAGGAGGAGGAGGAGGAGGAGGAGGTGGAGAAGAGGAGGAGAGGTGGAGGAGGAGGAGGGGGAGGAGGAGGAGGAGGAGGAGGAGAGGAGGAGGAGGAGGGAAGGAGGAGGTGGAGAGGAGGAGGTGGAGGAGGAGGAGGGGAGGAGGAGGGAGGAGGAGGAGGAGGGGAGGAGGGAGGAGGAGAGGAGGAGGGAAGGCGGAGTTGGAGGAGCGGGTTGAGGGGGAGGTAAGGAGAGGAGGAGGAGGAGGAGGAGGAGGAGGAGGAGGAGGAGGAGGAGGGAGGATGGAGGGAGGAAGGGGGAGGAGGAGGAGGAGAGGAGGAGGAGGGGAGAGGAGGAGGAGGAGGAGGAGGAGGTGGAGGAGGAGGAGGGGAGAGGAGGGAGAGGAGGGAGGAGGAGGAGGGCGGAGGGAGGAGAGAGGAGGAGGAGGAGAGAGGAGAGAGGAGGAGGAGGAGGAGTGGAGGAGGATGAGGAGGAGGAGGAGGAGGAGGAAGAAAGAGAGGAAAGAGAGCAGGGGGGGGGCTTCTAGGGGCCCCTGCCGCCCGAGAGGCTCTCCGCCCTCCCGGGAGGCCTGGCCCCCTGGCGCCCCCTCCCTCCGGTGCGTGCCGCCGGCCGGTGCCGCACGGGGCCTCGTGGGGCCTCCTGCGCGTAGGTCGGGCCCGTCCCTCTTTTAGCATTGCATTGCTTGCCTTTTTTTAGCATTTGTTTAGATTTTTTTTTTTGGGGGGGGGAGGGGGGGGGGGAATTTGTAAAGCATAGTCAAAGACTAGTCTGGGGACGATGTTTTTTTCGCATCTGTGGCCCCTTTTGGGGCATGTTTTGACTTAGACCAAAAATCGTCCAACGTCCCCCTGTAGGGGGACACGCCCGGCTTAGTCCTGCGCGCTTCTCGGGGGTCTCTCCCTCTCGGCCCGCCCGGGCGGCCTCCCCGGGCGGCCTCCCCGGGGCTCCCTCGCGAGCGCGGCTGCCGGCTCCGGGCCGATCGGCCAGGTGTGGGCGGGCAGTGTATCCTCCTCCTCCTCTTCCCTCCTCCTTCTTCTTCCCTCCACCTCCTCCTCCTCCTCCTTCTCCTCGTCCTCCTCCTCTTCCTACTCCTCCTTCCTCTTCCCTCCTCCTCCTCTTCCTCCTCCTTCCTCTTCCCTTCTCTGCCTCATCACCCTCCTCCTCCTCCTCCTCCTTTCCTGCTCCTCCTCCATCTCTAGTTTGGGGGGAGTATCACATGCCTCTGACCGCAAGGAAGTCGGAGGACCTTTCATTACAACAGCGGCTGTGCGAGCTGACGCGTTCACGGGCAACGCTTGCGCCTTCGCATTTGGTCCAGTTCAGAGGTTTTGCTCTGAATTAGGAAGAGCCAATAGGGGCGTGTGTCTGCCCTCGGCTGAGTCTCTGTTGCTCACGCGTGTTTGACTTCCTGGCCCCGCGGTCCTGGCTTCGGCATTTTCTCCACAAGCCAGGAAGTATTCCGTGCCGGTGCCTATTCAGATGCCCGACTTCGAAAGTGCGCAGTTAGTTTCCGCGAGGTGTCATTCAACACCCCTCGCGTCTGAATCATTAGCACAGTATTTGATCGAGTCGTCAGTAAAGTGAGCGAGGTGCATCAACACTATTTGCAAGCTTCTGTGATTCACGACGCTTCGCGTTCACCGCCCGCCATTTCGAGTTTTCGCCTGAAGAGCCGACGACGATGCCAAGAGTGGCTGAAGACAGCGCACCAGCTCCAGGGCGGCTCTGCAAGCATGTCGCCAGTAGCTCAGACTTGTCCCAATTCGGCCCAGAGACAGCTGTTTTGGGCAGACAGGAGGGCTCATAATGAAGTCATGGGAGGAAGGGGGAGAGGGGGGAGGGGAGGGAGGAGGAGGAGGAGGAGGAGGAGGACGAGGACGAGGAGGAGGAGGAGGAGGAGGAGCAGGACGAGGAGGAGGAGGAGGAGGAGGAGAGAGGAGGAGGAGGAGGAGGAGAGGGAGGAGGAGGGAGGAGGGAGGAGGGAGGAGGGAGGAGGGAGGAGGGAGGAGGGAGGGAGGAGGGAGGAGGGAGGAGGGAGGAGGGAGGAGGGAGGAGGGAGGAGGAGGAGGGAGGGGAGGAGGGAGGAGGGAGGAGGAGGAGAGGAGGAGGATGAGGAGGGAGGCGGAGGAGGAGGAGGAGGAGGGAGGAGGAGGAGGAGGAGAGAGGAGGAGGAGGGAGAAGGAGGAGGAGGGAGGAGGCGGAGGAGGAGGAGGAGGAGGAGGAGGGAGGGTGAGAGGGCAGAGAAGGGAAGAGGGTGGAGGAGGAGGGTGAGGAGGAGGAGGAGGAGGAGCAGGGGGAGGAGGAGGAGGAGGGAGGAGGGAGGAGGGAGGAGGGAGGAGGGAGGAGAGGGAGGAGAGGGAGGAGAGGGAGGAGAGGGAGGAGAGGGAGGAGAGGGAGGAGAGGGCCCCGTGCCAAGCATGTTTCGACATGGGCGCGGGGGCGCCATGCAGAGATGCCCGCTCTGGAGCATGATTCGCGTGACAGGTGTGCCGACATGGGCAGGGGGGGCGTTGTTCGAACACTCCTGGCCTTTAATTCGGTGGTGTTCCTTGTGGGCATGATCCACGTGACGGGGTGTACCGCCATGGCTGGGGGGGGGGGTCGCAGTGCGAACCTCGCTTCGGGGGCCGTGGATGGAGAGTTTTGTTGGCCACGATCACGATCCGTGTGCGAGGTGTGCCGAAGTAGGCGGGACGGCGGGATGCGAACCTTGTCTTAGGGGCTGTCCGTGGATGTCTTTGCGGGCAACGATCCGTATGAGAGGTGCGCCGAATTGAGCGGGCCGATGTTATGAAGCTCCCCTCTGGTGCCGCAGATGCATTTAGTTGCTGGGCACGGTCCTCGTGAGGGGCGTGCCATTGTGCGAACCTCGTCTCTGGGCCTCCCTGTGGGACCCGGTGCCTGTGAAGGGTGTGCCGGCATGGGCTTGGGGACCCAAGCCTGTCTGATGGGCCGCAGGTGGAGCCCCCTGAGGTGCGCGATTTTTGTGACAATCAATGTCCTCCGATGCCGAACACTTTAGACTACAACTGGGGCTCGCTGGAACCTAAGCGCGCGCGAAGCGCGCGTGTGGTTCTAGTATATATATATATCTCTCTCTCTCTTTCTATCTCGCTCCGTAAGGGCTTCGCCCCCTGCCGCCGGCCCCCTCTCTCGGATAATGAGCAATGCAAGAGCGAACTCATGAGGCCTTGGCGCCGCCGTGAAGCAGCGTCGGGACTTCACGCGAAGACGATGAGTAATCGGCAAGACAACTTGATTTTCTGATTGTATTGTTGAATTCGGTGTTGTATTTCGATGGTTTATAGCTTCGGATATGCAAGCAGTGTTTAATTTGCAAGGGCTTATGGCGTCGGGTCGTAGATATAGTGTAACTTACGCAGGTGTATGGCTTCGGAGACGCGATGAGTAGTTTACGTGAGTTTACGTGGGTTGATTGCTTCGGACACGCGATTATCGCGTAATTTACGAAGGGTTCTGTTTTGGGGGTCGCAAGCATTGCGTCATTTACGCAGGTTGCGTAACTTACCATGGTTTCTGGCTTCGGGGACGCGCGAACATTGCATGATTTACGTGCGTTTGTGGCCTCGGGGACGCAAGTAGTGTGCAATCTGCGAGGGTTCATGGCTTCGGGGACACGACTATGGCGCATGTTGGGAGGGTTTATGGCTTCAGGGACGCGAGTATGGAGTAATTGGCAGAGCCTCTGCCCCCATCTGGTCGGGCCCCATCTAGACGGGCCTCTCTCTCTGCCCCTCCCCTTCTCGGCCTTCCCCTCGTTGCCCCCCCTCCCCCCGCGCCGACCCCAAGGAACGCCAGCCCCGACGCCGTGCGCGAGCCAGAGCGGTCGTTTCTGCCGTCAGATGTCGTCGTTCTGTCGTGGCTCTGTCGTCGTCGGCGGTCGTTCGCCGTGGTCGTCGATGTCATCGTCCGCTGCTCGTCGTCGTAGTTGCTTGCCGTCGTCGGTTGTCGTCGCTCGTCGCGGTCGTCTTCAGTCGTCCGTCTTCGGTGTTGGGACAGGGAACAAGGGAGGGGCGGGGAGGATCGGCTTCATCTGTTTCACGCGAAGCCCAGCGGCAAGGAGGATCGAGTACACGCAAAAGTGGCCCTCCGCCCGAGTGGCCTCTGGTCGGGGCTTCCCAGCCCCCCCCGATCTCTGAGACCAGTCTGTGCCTTGGCGTCCCGCGTTGCTCAGCCACGCGCAAAGGGGGGGGGCAGGGGGAGGGGGGAAGGCTTCCCAGAAGGGGGCTGCCTCCTAGAAGGCGCGGGCCTTGCATCTACAGACAAGGCCCGCGCCTGCTAAGAAGCAGGGGTGCTTCTTAGAAGCCTTCCCCCCTTCCCCCTGCCCCCCCTCTGCGCGCCGCCAAGTTGCCCTCGAGCCGGGCCACCGTCTTGCCTCTCCGTGCCGCTCCTGCGTGCAGCCGAGGCGCAGGCACGAGCTTGTCTCTGTGTCGCGCGTGCGCGCAGCCAAGGAGCATAGGGGAGGAGGGCGGTCGAGGAGGAGGAGGAAGAAAGGAAGGAAGAGGGATGAGGATGACGATGTAGGAAAAGGAAGAGGAGGAACAGGAGGAGGAGGGAGGAGGAGGGAGGAGGAGGAGGAGGCGGAGGAGGAGGCGGACGACGATGCAGGAAAAGGAGGAGGAGGAGGAAAAGGAGGAGGAGGGAGGAGGATGACGCTTGCGGAGGGGGAGGGGGAAAGAGGGAGGAGCAGGAAGAGGTGGTCTCCGTGCTCTCTCTCTCGTCCTGCCCCGCTGGGGTGGCGGGGCAAGACGGGAGCGGGTACATCCCCGCCTGCCGTGGAGAGGTCTGGCAGCAAGATCGATCTGAGGACGCCGACTTCGTGCTGCAAGGCACGCCCAGCCTGCATCGTGAGGAGGCAGGCGGCCGGGGAGGCAGGATGAGCCTGGTCAAAAGCGCTTGGGGCGTTTTTGCCGTTTTCGAAGTGCAGCGCTTTTTTCAGTTTGGGGGTCCGTGTTTTTCCGTTTGGGGGTTCTCGTTCGCGCAGTTTTCGGTTCGGTTCCGTTGTATGTTGTTTTGTTGTTATTCTTTGTGTGGGGCTGCGCGTGCTTTTTTCCTCTTTCGGGCCCCCCAACACCCAACAGTTGAAAACTCCTAAACAGGTCGTCAGCAGTTTCGACGTCAACCGAGGCAGGGCCTTCTGGGATCAGGGCCCGCACACGGCGCAGTGGCCCAATGATGGGCTCCCCACTCGGCAGGCACTGCGTAGTACCCCTGCGCGGTCTGGGAGGTGGGCCCCGCCGACGCCTTCATTTGGGGGCGCGCTGCGTTGAGCTGAGCACGCTGCCCGGAGCTAGAGACCACCCCTTGCCATTGTCCGTCCCATCGGGAAGCGCCGCGGGCAGAAAGTGAAGATGAGCTCTTGCGTACTGGATACGCAAGCGCTGCGACACAGCCATGGAGAGCGGAGGCTCGGTCAGAGCTGAGGCTGAGGAGGGAGGTGGGACAACTCCTAAGGGGACTTCCAGATAGATTTCGAGGGCAGCCAAGGGATTGTAATGGGTTGGGAAAAGAGGAAATGGAGGAGAATGATGAGGGTGACGTGGGGAGGGGTGGGGTGGGGATTACATTGTTTTCGATGGTCGGATGTTCGTTGGTGTCCTGGGGGATGCCTTTGGGTGTCAGGGGGTTCGGAATCCTCGCGTGGGTCGAGAAAAAGGATACTCCGAGCCTCATAAGCGTGGGGGGTGCGCCACCCCCGCCGACAGCCCCACATCGACCCCCGTCGCGGGCAGTCACCGCGCGCCGAAGGCGCTCCGACCCCCGTCGTGGCGCGACGACGAGGCGAGGTTGACCCCCGTCGGGGGGGACCCCCCACGCTTGTTAAGAAACCCAGAGTAGCCGATCTGTCAGGAGGGACAAAAAACACACAGACAGAAATTCATCGTCGACTCCCAGGAAAATGTGGGAAACTATGGGCAGTGGGGGGGAAGGCTAAAACCCAGGAGATGTGGGAGAATATGGGGAATCCTGTCACTTGTGTCGACCTGTTTCTGTGCCCCACTGCCCCCTCAATCTGTCGAGCACGCCCCCGCCCCCGCCTCCGCCTCCGCCTCCTCCTCCTCCTCCTCCTCCGCCGCCTCCTCCTCCTCCTCCTCCTCCTCCTCCTCCTCCTCCTCCTCCTCCCCCTTCCCTCCTCCTCCGCCTCCGCCTCCGCCTCCGCCTCCGCCTCCCCTCCTCCCTCCTCCTCCTCCTCCTCCCTCCTCCTCGCCTCCGCCTCCCCTCCGCCTCCGCCTCCGCCTCCTCCTCCTCCTCCTCCTCCTCCTCCTCCTCCTCCTCCTCCTCCTCCGCTGCACGCCTCGCTCCTCACGATGGCGTGCAGCCGCCCGGCGAAGGCCCGAGGCCCCAGGGGCCAAGGCCCGAGGCCCAAGCAGAAGCGCCCATGGCTGCGAGCCCGCGGCGTGCACTGACGTGCTGTATCGCGTCCGTGGCCGCTGCGACGGGGAGTAGGGGGAGGAGGAGGAGGAGGAGGAGGAGGAGGAGGAGGAGGAGGAGGAGGAGGAGGAGGAGGAGGACGAGGAGGAGGAGGAGGAGGGAGGAGGAGGGAGGAGGAGGGAGGAGGAGGAGGAGGAGGAGGAGGAGGAGGAAGAGGAGGGGGAGGAGGAGGAGGAGGAGGACGAGGAGGAGGAGGAGGAGGAGGAGGAGGAGGACGAGGACGAGGACGAGGAGGAGGAGGAGGAGGAGGAGGAGGAGGAGGAGGAGGAAGAGGAGGGGGAGGAGGAGGAGGAGGACGACGAGGAGGAGGGGGAGGAGGAGGAGGACGAGGACGAGACGAGGAGGAGGAGGAGGAGGAGGAGGAGGAGGAGGGAGGAGGAGGAGGAGGAGGAGGAAGAGGAGGGGGAGGAGGAGGAGGAGGAGGACGAGGAGGAGGAGGAGGAGGAGGAGGAGGAGGAGGACGAAGACGAGGACGAGGACGAGGAGGAGGAGGAGGAGGAGGAGGAGGAGGAGGAGGAGGAGGAGGAGCGAGAGCGGGAACGGGAGCGGGGGCGGGAGCGGGAGCGGGAGCTGGGGGGCGTGATCATTTCCATCCTGATCCCCCTCGTCCTCGCTTCCGGCCCGTGGTGCTTCCCGATGTTTAGCATCGCCCCCTGCGCGGTCCGCCGTCCTTGACTTCGCTTCCCGCTCTCAAGGACTGCGGGCACCCGCTGCAGCTCTCACCCCAGATTTCTCGTGTGCCTCGCCTGGTGCGCACTCTTGCTCTTGCGCGCCTGCCTGCTCGAAGCGGTCATATCGATCGGCGACTTGGATCCGTCACGTTATGCGAATCGGAGGAGAAGTAGGAGGAGGAGAAGGAGGAGGAAGAGGATGGGGATTCGGTGGGGAGGGGGGATTTCGCATCACGTGGCGAAATCCCTCTGCCTATTCGATGCGCGATGCCTACTTGAGTTTCGCCCGCGGCATCGTGGCGTCGACTGCCGAGATTGCCACTGGGCGGGAACAGGTGCGGGGCCTCTCCGTCCCCGGCCCCTCCCCCCAGTTTTGAGTCGGGCATGTCCCTCTACAGGGGGAATACCTACAAGTAGTAAACATTGTCTGGGGACTATTGTTTGAGTATTCTGGTGCATCTGTTGAACATTGTTTTGACTATCTTTAATTTTCGTCTCAAATCTGCCTGTAGGGGGACACGCCCGATCTAACCCCAGTTGGAGGAAGAGGCCACCTCTCCCTCAGTCTCTCCATCTCCCGTTCCATCCCCACCCGAGCGACGTCGCGCAGGCTGAGCCGTCTGCGGGGGCAGGGACGCTGGCGAGTACGGCAGGTCCGCGTCGTGCCGACCGGCGGCGACCCCGCCGCGGACGCTCAAGGTTGAACGCCGCCAGCGGCCCAGAGTCGGCCTACATGGAACGATCGGGCCATACAAACGCCGCCCATCCGGATTCCCTTCGGGGATCATCCGCTAACATTGGAACGAGACGGGGAAGATTAGCATGGCCCCTGCGCAAGGATGGCACGCACAAATCGAGAAGTGTATACAAGTTTATATACATATATACAAATAAATACATATATATACATAAGAAAGAAACAACAAAACAACAAAAACGCTGCCCATCCTGCCAGGGTGGAGCGATCCACGCCTCGCCGTGAAGGAAAACCAACGCCGGCGTCGCCGCGCCGCGAGCCTGCCGCAGCAGCCTCCCGCGCGCCGCGCGCCGCTGCCCCGCCGCGCCGCGCGGGGGCGCCCCGCGCTCGCTCGCGGGCCCCGCTCTGCTCTGCGCCGGTCCCCCGCCCCCTATCCGCACCTTCGCGTCCCCCCGCCTCCCCATAGCACGGTGTGGTCTTTCTTCGGAGAGGAGGAGGAGGAGGAGGAGGAGGAGGAGGAGGAGGAGGAGGAGGAGGAGGAGGAGGACGAGGAGGGCCCCGCTTTGCTCTGCGCCGGTGCCCCGCCCCCTATCCGCACCTTCGCGTCCCCTCGTCTCCCCATACATCTGGACGCCCCAAATGGGTACTGAAAGAAGGGGTACGATGCCCAACAGCGGTTCCTGTTCGTTCTGAAGAGGATTCGCTGTCCACGCCGCCGCGGCCTGTGTCCATTCGAGACAGAAGGCCGCCTGCCCAACAGCGGCCGCTGTTGCTTTGGGACAACATTTGTTGTTGGGCATTGTACCCATTCTTTCGGTACCCATTTCGGGTGTCCAAAATCTTCGCGTCCCCTCGCCTCCCCATACAGGCCTCGGAACAACTTAGCGAACACATGTCACATTCATCCGTCACCTTTGAGGACCTTTTTTCCACCGTCGTTGGGCGATCTCGGGAGGAAGCTGGGAGCCCGACAAGGCTATAACGCGACAGTCGGTCAAGCTCTTGATAAAACTAATGAGTTGGCTTCGAGCGATCTTTATCGGGGGAGCGTAAGACCCGGGTTTGCCAGGACTCGGGTTCGCCCTCGTTTTTTGACGGCCGCGCCTCGGATTTTGGCGAGGAGGAGTGTCGTGGGACGTCTGCAGCGGGAGGCCTCGTCAGAATGCAGGCTCGGCCTCGTCAATTTTTTGACGACCTCGTCGGGGATTTCGTCCCCCTGACCATAGCACGATGAGGTCTTTCTTTGGAGGTTGATGCAGTCAACGCGCATAGTAAGGACAAACGACTTTTTCAAGGGTACTCTTGGGTCCTTGCCTGCCTCAGCCTCTGCGGCCCGTCCCTGGCAGTTTTCGCAGGCCAGAGTACTTCAACTTGTGCCTCCAAGGGTCTTGCGTCCTTACCACGCGTCCTTATTATACGTTTTCACTGTAGACTTCTCAGCCTGACACGTCGCTTAGTGAACTGGCCGTTTTTTTGGTTCGCGAGAGGGCGTCGCGGCCGTTATTTTTGCGGGTCTGGGTCCGTCGGTTTCGGTCTTAGGCCGTTTTCACTGAAGGGAGGGTTACAACAGGGAGGTCTGTCCACCGCCGATTTCTGGAGTAGCAGGTCGGCCAATGACGCGCGTCCGCGGATGGAGAAGAACGAGTCGGCGCAGTCGGAAGGGATGGGAGGGAGGGATAGGACGTGAGATGAGGCGCGAGCGCACTTAGCTTGTCTCTCCCCTTTCTTGGAGGGTTTTGCTCTCTCTCTCTCTCGCTCTCTCGGAGAAGAAGGATAATAAGAATACGTAGCACCCCGCAGATGCGGATAAGAATGAGGGGGAGGTGGGGACGTCGGCAGTTTGCGAGTTTCTGGAGACGCCCGCCGCACGCGCCAAAGTTTCACACATTGTACAACGAGCCCGCTGCAGGCGCCGATTTTTTTGTTAAACTAATGTGGGTAGGTCGCGGGTGGGTCGCAAATGGGTCGCGGGTGGGTCGCGGGTGGGTAGCTGTGGGGTCGCGGCTGGGTCGCGGGTGTAGAGGGCGGA